ATACTGTATACGTAAAAAGCATTTGGGGCAGTATATCTGGTAAATTATATATTTTTTCAAATGTGACACATTTTATTCCAAACCATTCCTTAATGTTGTTTCCAGATAGATACCAGATAGTTTCAGATAAATAATGCAGAGCCTTCTAAATTCTTCTTTAGATTACAGCTAAATACACAAAGAATTTATACTACAGGGTGGCTGCAGTCTGGAAACTTTTAAAAATTGGTAGGAAAAAAAAAATTTTTTTTAACAAATTCCTGCCTACCAAAATGTTTTTATAAATTAAGAGAAACGTGTGTAGATGTTAAAATGCATTTAACTAAATTAAACGTAAAGTGAAACCTGTTAATTTCTAAACAATTTTATCAAATATTTCCAAAGTATGACCATCTTATAGAGCCGTTACGAAAATAAGATATAATATAAATAAAATATAATCTCTTAAATAATTTAAATGATGGGCTTGTTGTCAAGTCTTTTGCAGCTTTTCTATTAATTTCATAATGTCTTATATCGAATGGGTAGTTTCGTCAAAAAATACAGAGTGAAACGATATTGTTTTGCTATCACTGTTTGAATTTTTCTGCGATTAGGAGAACTAACGTTAATGTAAACAAATATTTCGAGGGGGAGGTGGATCCACCGGACCGTGCACTTATGGTGCTATTTTTGATTCCATGTTTATGTTTGTGTCATCCGATTATATGCCTAGTCATGTCATTATCCTATCTCTTTGAGTCATGTCAGATCGGATCAGATTTTTTTTAGAGCACATCAGGGTAGGCATTAAGTAACTTGAGCAATTCTAAAGTCAATATCTAATTATTTTATTTCATAACCATCGTTGAATAACCGACCCAATATTGAGTTTACGACTACCAATGTTCAACTTCGTAGCTTTGTAATTTTGAACCCAACCCAGAAGACAAGGGAACTACTGGATAGAGTATTGGGAGAAATATGCCTTCTTGGAGGATTTTTCGAAAGAAATAAACAGCATTTGTGTTACATGGAGAGGAAAACCCCGAAAACCTCTCACGTTCAGCCTGACGTCAAGGGGACTCTAACCCCTTGATCCGTCTACCACTGAGGAAGTTTTACGTCAGCACTGTGGTTGGTGCGAGCTGGGTGCAGAATTCGAATCAACCAGCCATCACTGGGATTCGAACCCGATGCGCCTCATTGGAAAGAAAACGCTCTATCCTTTGAGCCACCACTGCTCAATATCTAATGATTGAAAGGAAAGGGTCATCTCCAACGTTTAACACTGCGTTGGTTTTGTGTTCACAAAGTGTAAGCAGAAAGCACTGTAACGAATCCAGCTTCATTAAAGAAACAGTTATTTATTTATTTTTTTTTTAATGAAAATAAATTTATGTCACAACATTCACATGTCAACAAAACAAAAATAAATTGAGGTACCAGTATCGAATAAGCATAAACTTTGTAAAGATTAATTAAAATTTCCGTAACGCGTTGGTTTAAATATTAAATACGAGCAAAAACTATTCTCAACAAAAATTAATTCTCCAAACACTAATTTCAAAAACTATCTGGTTCTTTCCTTCATCTCGTTTAATGTTGTTGTTTTTTAAATTCGTGGTTGTTTTAGATATTTGTTCGTATTAGATATTTTTAAGACTTTATTAACGCATTATCATCTTCGTTAAAGTTACTTCCTCAGGGGAGCCACAAGTGACAAGTGGTAGAAACTCAATTGATATTTAATTTTTTAATCAAAATTATATTTCAAAATTATTCACAACCAATGGGAAAACATTAACTTTTAATAGCAATCTGGGAGGCTAGAAAAAATTTTAATCAATTTAAATAGATTTTATCAATCAACGGTGGCATTTCCGGATGGTGGTGAAATGTAGCGTTATACCTTCACTACTCACTTTTGTTTTATTTCATATTTTATAACCGTCGTTGAACCATGAAAGGGAAAAGCCCCCGGAATAACAACCAGTCCAAGTGTCTGGCTTAAAATAAAAGATGAAAGGGATCTTGAAGAGAGCCAAAATTCTTAACAAGTCAAAAGCGCTTAAAACATCTGAAATAGTAAAATTAACCAAAAATACAGTTAAAAAACGTATAAAGTGTAAGGTCAGGTAAAACATCAAATGGTAAAAATAAGAAAAATCACTTTAAAAACATTCGATCGAATGTCGCCTATGCGGCTGCGGTTAATTCCCCACTCCCCTTCTTTTGAATACTATATATAATGTCATGAACGCGTTGACATTCGTTCACTTAACTTAAAGGTAGTGCACACTAGAACAAAAGTTACGGCTATCTAATATTTTGTTGCTTATTCCAAATTCAATCTATATGTAAAATTGAGGATTTTCGTAGGTTGCTTTTAAATTCAGTGTATCGTTTTATTAGATTAAATCGTTTTTCTCAGCTGGTAGGAAGTGTTATTTATTTCTGGATGTAACAGACGCAGAGAGGACAAAAATGTCTATTTTCCATGTGTTTAACAAGTTTAGCCAAACATGTGTGTGCGTGGGGGAATTGGATTGAGGAAATGAAAATACTCTTATAGGGTTTCTTTCCCCGCGTAAAAGAGGAAAAAAAACATACGATGTTATTTGTATTTTGTTGCATTTAAAATAGTCACTGTTTTATACCGGATATTAAGTTTTAGGATTTGTGACTTTTAAGACAGATTTCAATGGTGGTTTCATCAAAATGCAAAGATTTGTATTTGTACTGGTGTATGAGGTCAAATTTACTAACATCTTTTGTTTTTTTAGTTCGTAAGAAAATACTTAAGATCGATGATCAACGGTTCTGAAATATTTATAAAAAATTCACAATAATGAATAAAAATGCATGATGTTTTCAGTTTGTTGGTCATGCAACCATTCTGAAATATTTATAAACAGTTCGAAATATTGAATAAATATGCATAAAGTTTTTAGTTTGGCGGTTCTGTAACCATTCCGAAATATTTATAAAAGACTCACAATAATGAATAAAAATGCATAAAGTTTTCATTTTGCTCGTTACACAACCATTTTGAAATACATAAATATTTCAGAATGGTTGCATGAAGTTCAGAATGGTTGCATAAAAAAGTTCACTATACTGAATAAAGATGCATAAAGTTTTCTGCTTGTCGGTTCTGCAACAATTCTGAAATATTTATAAAAAATTCACAATAACGAATAAAAATGCGTGAAGTTTTTAGTTTGTAGGTTCTGCGACCATTCTGAAATATTCACAAAAAATTCAAAATAATGAATAAAATTACATAAAGTTTTCAGTTTGTTGGTTATGGAACCATTTTCAAATATTTGTAAAAAAATTCACAATAATGAATAAAAAATTCACTATAATAAAAAAATAATTAAATTTATAAATAAACACCATTTATAACCATTCCCTCCATAATTTGAAATTTTTACGATGCTTTTTTCCACTAGCAGTAATATGGCTGGAAATAGTTATACATTAATGATTTTTTTAAGTTATATATATATTGTTGTATTGAATATATAGTTGTATTGAAAAAGGAAATCAATATTTCTATCTCTCAGCTTATTTTGATTAAAAATAACATCATTTCTAAAAACTTCAAGTATGAGTTTTCAAATTGTGTCAATAGTTTGGCCATGTAAAGTCTTCCAAGACATTTTTCGCTAAAAGAAAAACTGTTCACATAAAGTTAAATTATTTTACGGGAGTTCTTCCCTCAAAGGTTGAAATATTTTTTCTCGATATTAAAAGTTCCTACAGGAGAATTTTATAAAATAACAAATCTCTTTATAATTGCACCCTTCCATTTTTTTTCCGTTGAAGTACTGGAAGAGATTTTTTACAATTACTCCACTCCCTATATTGTGGATAGTACATATTGTATTTACATATAGTATGCAATCGTAATCACTCGTAATCGTATATTTTGTTTACAGGTAATCACGATTACTTCTAATATCTATTACATTTAGTCATGACTACTTGTAATCATATACTTTGATTACCTGTAATCATAATTACCCGCAATTGTTTCTTGTTATGATTACAAGTACTCATGATTACTTGGAATGACGATTACAGTTGTAATCAAAATTATGGTGAATTGTAGTCAAGATTACAAGTAATTGATTAGTGTAATCTTGAATATAGATGATAGAATGACTTCCTTGAGCAGGTGTTTCTTCAATAGATTTCCTCCTCCTACTCCATCAGTAGGGAAAAAACTTGTTGGCAAAACCCTACAAGACAGCATATAGGTTAGGTATAATCAAAATTATTAAGGGGAGTTGTGATCATGATAATAAGTAATTAATTACTATAATAAACTTCTGTAATCAGGATTACAGTTGTAATCAGAAATCTAATCAGGATTAAAAGTAATTGATTACGGTAATTGAGCGTTGTAATCACAATTGCAACTGTAATTAAATTTATGATGTGTTGCAATCATCATTACAAGTAATTGATTATTGTAATCGAAAAATGTAATCGATTATATTTTTGGCCGATTCTGCTAGGTAGATATTTTTTTTAATTTTTCTAACATGCGATCAGAATTTCTCTATCTTAAACCGAAAATATGGAAAATGCTGTGTTCTTCCGTTTTTTTTTTCCAGGAAAAAAGTTAGATTGCAAAATGTGGATTCGTGTTTAGCACCCCATAAAACATTAATGTACAAAAAATTACACCTACCTTTAATTTTTAAAGTTAAAATTCAGTTTTCAGCTCAGTTGTTCTGGTTATAGGAATTATAGAGAAACAATTTATTTCAATAACAGTATTAGTCGATTAAGTTACTCATTTATTGTTTTGTAATATTTTAGCTCTATTTTATTAATTTAGGTGTGTTTTTTTTTTGAACCTGTTTACCTTTTTTCAATGTCTCTTTAAAACTTTTTCAAATGTATGTAAGTTAACATATTGTTTTCTTTCAAATGAGTATAAATGCTAGATTTTGACAATTCGGGATTCGTATAGATAGAGTGGTTCATATAATTTATTTTTGTAGGTAAGTTACCAATCAACAAGTCCAACTTTGAGCAACAAAGAAAAGTATTCATACTTCTTTAGAACAGTACCATCTGACGTGAATCAAGCAAAGGCCATTGTTGAAATACTCAAGTACGATGTTAGCATTTATTTGTTTACCGAAATTATTTTCTACTCATTCAAATCCAGAACATATCGAAAGTTCTTAAAACTGTAATAAGACAGACAATCCAAAATTACCGTTTATGATACAACCTTGTTCCAAAATAGCAGGCTTCTAGCATTCCACACCGTGCGACTTAATAATACAATATTAACAACTGTTTTATATCTTTCAAGAAAATAAATAAACAAATATGTATAATATAGTTTAGGGTCTATTAAGTTTTTTCCTATCGCTGAAGCCTGTATATTTCCTCAAAAATATTATTTAGATAACGATGCGGATCTATTAAAAATAACATAAAGATGTAATACAACAATAATAAACTAAACACATTGGCGCTACAGCCCATGGAGGGCCAAGGCCTACTGTGCCCATCTCAGTTTTCTTGACCTTGGGCTCTGGGGTGCAGGAGCAGATGTTCCGGTTAGGTGGTCAGCCGAACGTGAAATCCCCAGTGTTTAGTTCCCAAACATGGTTGATACTCATTTATCGACCCACTGAAGGGATGAAATGCTGAGTCAACCCTGCCCGACCCGAGGATCGAACCCAGGACCTGTGGTACGGGAGCACGAAGCGCTACCACTCAGCCACCGGGCGTCACAATAATAATAACATGAGCATATAAGTCTATATAACTAGAGATATAAGTCTATATTCTAAAGAAATAAAAATAACATATACATATAAGTCTATTAATTCATATTTTTTAAAAAATTTTTATTTTCGAGATAATTTTGGGATTTTGCAATTTTACGTTAGCTTTCGTACGCTCCCGCACGTAAGACTTAAAGCAACTGCGCATGCTCGCATTTATTTCACGTCTCATTACGTTTTGTTGACGTGATTACAAAACAAAACGACAAAACAGAGCTACAAGCATGCTGCTTATAGCTGTTAAATGTTGTTTTCCATATAAGCCTACCTTCGAACTTGTAGCATGGGCATAGAATGCGAATTCGAAGAAATATATTGATGAAATTTAGAAATGAATCCTGTGATATTACAACAATTGGTTGAACGAAGAGATCGTCTACGTCCATTGTAAATATTAGTTAAAACAGTATTCCACAACGTTAGCGCTTTTAACTTACGGATTTTTGCTAAATCTCTTATTTTCACTTGGATAGCAAACGATAAAAGATAACAAACTTACATATAAATTTTTCTTCTTTTTACGGGAGCATGCGCAATTACTTAAAATCTTGTGTACAGGGGCCTGGTAGCACGATTCCAAAAGTAGATTTCACAAATTTACGTTCTCCCTATTGATAAGCTACAAAATTTAAGAAATGAAGCTGAGCATAATTATTACCTCGTGTATACTTCAAATATTGTGTGATATTTTATAGAATTACAAAGCTGCAATTTTATAAGCTTCTTGGATAAATTTCTTCTAGTGGTAGCAAAGTTTATGTATCTCAATGTTTGATTCTTTGTTTAGTAAATTTTATTTAAAATAATTTTCCCTTCCACAACATGTGAAAGATTCAAAAGCTCTTAAATGTCAATGCCAATATTCTGAGAGCCAATATTCTGAGAGCTTTAGTCGTTGTTCGTCTTCCACTCAATAAAATGTTTTGCAAAAAGCGTAGTAGTTGGCAGCCTTGGAATTCAGTATGACATTCTAGTTCCTGTTAGTAGGTTGGTCTCAACCTTGAAGAAGTGATCACGAAATATTTTACTAAGTTGATGAAAATTGTAAAGGTTATTTTCACTTTAAGAAATAAGTTGGATTGTTCTAAGTGGAAAATTTAGTCAAGTCATTCCATTTAGTCAAAAATCCTTTTAGTCAAGAGAATCTATTTGTGGTCATTCGTTCACTTATTTTAAGAATTATTATAAACTTAGTTTGTCAAAAATAAGCGGTATAGTTTTTATCCCACAACTGCTGAAAGGGTTAATTTATAACCATATTTTGGTGGGTAGAAATAAGTAAATCTTTCCCTGTGAATTCTTCCGTTGTGATTATATAGGGTAAACACTTTTATTACAATACTTAACAAAATGTAACAATCTCTTAAACAAAAATTATTTTTATTTTTTATTACTTTCTTTGTGTTCTAGAGCTTTTCGCTGGACGTATGTATCTGTTGTTTACTCGGATACTGATTACGGGAACAAAGGGTACGAGAAACTTTTGGAAGAAGCCCGTAAAGAGATCTGCTTCAGTTCTCCGCAGAGCATAAATGTAGATCATTTTACTGATAACGATTACGATATGGTCATACAGAATCTTATGCATAGAACAAATGCACGAGGTAATAGTCTTAATTAATTTTAATATTGTTGTAAATTTGAGTATAATTTTGTGAATATTCTTTTGTTATGAGACTAAATATCTGAGACAAGCTAAATTAACAGTTTAATTAGAAAATTTACATGAAATTTGCTTAATTCTAATTTAATTTAGAGAGAAAATACGCCTAATGCATTTCTTATGCGAAACTCGGTTTGGCGAAACTTTTTGCCGACTTGGCGATAATTTTGAAGACTTGGCGACCATTTTGGAAACAAAATGATAATTCTGAAAAATTTAAATTTCGAAGCTAGAGGACTAATATTTACAAAGCTATATGAGAATTGTACAGAATCATGTCTTAGCAACAAAGTATATTTTCAAATTGCATTTACATCCCAAATATTTTTATTATTTATTGCAGAAGAAGGCCAAATATCTATTATTAAAACTAAAGCAACTATATTTAACTTCATCTAACTCACTTTTTGAAACAAGCATATGACTATTCATAACAAAAATTTGAAAGTTTTATATTTATTCTTTTAACTCAATTTTAAGAAACAGCTTCGAAGAAGTAAAGAACGAAACAAATGCATATTTTTTTATTTTCTTTCAAATAGAAACATAAAATCATCTCAGGTAACTGGCAGAGTTGACAGCAATGTATTTTTGAGGGAAAAACTTCATCTAGTAGCCCTTGTGACCCGGCATCATCTAAACCGGGTGGCCATGATCAGGAAAAATTTAAAAAGTGGGGACAAATATTTTATAAGTTTATCATAAATTTTATAGGCATTAATTTAACATTAGCTGTCGGAATTCAGCTGGTTAGTTGTAAACTTGCAAATATTTTTTGTTGATAATATTTAGTTTAAACATTTTGTTTCCTTCACCTTTACTTACACAGTTTTTAAATTTTTATGCAAAATAGCTACCTTGCTAGGGTTTATGCGCACCTGGAAAAAATTAAAAAAAGTGGTAATTAAAATATAAATATATAGTTTTTTATGTGATTGTGTGATTTTTTTTATAACCGACGTTGAACAGCCGTCCCAATTTTTGGGTTTACAACTACTAATGTTCAACTCCGAAGCCTCGTAATTTTGAACTCAATCCAGAAGACAAGGGAACTCCTGGATCAAGTATTGGGAGAGATTTGCCTTCGTGGAGGACTTTAAGATGAAACTAACCGCATTTGCGTTACATGGAGAGGAAGACCACGAGAACCTCCCACGGGTAGCCTGACGGCAAGGGGACTCTAATCCATGATCCGTCTACCACTGAGGATATTTCACGTTAGCACTGCCGATGCGGAATTCTTATCGACTGGGATTCGAACCCGGTTTGCCTCACTGGAAGGCGAACGCTCTATCCCAATAGCCATCGCGCCTCTGACAACTATGCTGGAGAAAAAAAAGAGAAACGTACTTAAAATCTGAAAATAAATTTGCTTCTTGAAAATTTTCTTCCGTTTTGGTTTTTAGCTTCAAACGGCCCTTACTAACAAAAACAACCCTCGTACATATATAAAACCGAAGGTGGCGGATATGTAATTTTAATTCGATAGTGGAAGCTAATATTAAGAAATTTCCATCTTCATTGTAACAAAATTGATACCAGTTTTCGAAGTGCGTATAAACCCAACTTGCTATCTTAATGATTAAGAGTTTGATCATTAGGGGAGAGTGGTGTCAATTGTAACATTTTTTACTTAACTGTTTTTAATTAACAAAAAATCCAATATATTATTAGTATTAATTGACAGACGAGTAAAGTAGACTATCCTCTACTAGAAAAAAAATTAAATACCTGATTTTAAATATTATTATATTAGTTATTAACAATTTTTGACAGTCGTGCACTTGTTACAATTGTCCCCACTTACGGGGTCAATTGTAACAGTTCATAAATTCAACTAAAACATAGTTAATTATACATATTATCATAGTTGTGATATATTTTTTTATTGATCAAAATAGTAGTGATATTTTAGGAGTAAAAATAATAATGAGCA